AATTGCTCGATCAAATAATACGATGCCAAGTCTGGTAAGTAGAATCCAGATCCATTTAAGCGCTGAGGGGTTGCATTAGTGTCGGAACTGATGGCTCCGGCAACTCCTGTACAACCCTTGAATCGAGTGGCAAGGAAGCTACCGCGAAGAAATGCTTGAGAGATAGAGAGCGAGGAGTGGAGTATTCGCCGTCCACTCGGAATTCAGAAACGATCAATGATCTCTCTCGACGCCGTGGAATTCGTTTACTCCCACGTCCCTTCTAGTCCCTTCTTCCTTCCTAGATATGGCTGATTTGCGGCGAGAAAAAGTTACGGTTCAAGACGGAGAAAAGAGAGAACGTTCGTGCAAGGACTGACGAATAAACAGAGAGACAATGAAAGGGAGAAGTCGCGCGTGACAACGGCAGGCTCCGGTGGGATATATGGAAAGGGGTTGGGATGACGGGGGGGGGAGGTGGATGGGGGAGGCCACACCGAGCATAAAAACGAAAAGACCAAAGACGATGTATGAGGGGTTGGGGGGGGGGGGGATGGAGGGCTCGAATGCAGAAACTTGGAAGATTTTAGAGAAAGCCAAGGAAGTTATAAAAGTGTGTATTGTGCACTCTATTTTATGTTTTATGAAAAATATACGTTGCGCTTTCCACTTCTCAGTATACGCACAATGTATGGACAAACGAATAAAATATCGGCGAATTCGGGAAAGCAGAAAAAAATCCCTTAGTTTCGCAACTCCTTGTACCAACTACCGTAATTAACACCGACCTCTTCTCTATTAATGCACCCGCGACGCTTATGCAAGGATCATCCGAACACATCCTCCACAAGTTAAATTCTATATATGTATGTATATATAAACGTATGCACGACCCTCTGGTCGATAACACAGACTGGACGTAATCGGGTCCAGAGTATCCGAGTCCTGTGTGGTCGCGATTCCTTCTCGAGTTGTGTCACATCCAAGCGGGAGTCACGTCAGGCGTCATGAGACGCGGCCGAGCCGAAGGCCATGTGGCCTCTCGGAAACGCAATTTGTCGCGCGATCGATTGCACCACGCGCACACGGGAACGCGTCCCAGGAAGGACGGAAGGAAGGAAGGAAGACGCCCCCCCCCTCCGGCGACGACGGCCGCTCGAAGCCTCAGCAAGATGTTTCCGCACTCCAAGGGGCATCGCGTCCTTGGCCAAAAGTACCTTGCGAATGACTTTTGTCGGATTAAATACCCGAGGATTTTGTATTACCGAAGACAGAATTCTGTCGCTGTTAGGAATTCGCGAACGATTAGTCGATCTATTAGTTAAATTCGCGTGATAAAGTGTCTACGACGAGGTGAATTTTCTTCCTTTTTAAAAACTGGAATTAGGCAACTTTATCCCCCATGAAATCACCATCAGCCACGTTAAACGAAAGCTATTTTCGTCGCAATACTATTTATTACGTGCGTGTTTAATTTATTTATGTATAATTCATTTACGTATCACTTACTTTGCCACTCACTTTATAAGTATAATTAATTGTATCTAATGTTCATGCATACATTCGTCACGGGCATAAAGAAAAATAATTGCATTCCGCGTAGAGAAGTGAGCGAAACGATATAATGGATCATCGAAACAAAATGAACTAGCCTAATTGATTTTATCAAAATTATCCTAAATTCATAATTATTACTATTATTCGTTGTGAAATTATATTAATTAATTATTTTGCGTAGTGGTAAAGGTATGAAGGGGAATTATAACAAGGGCGGCAGCAGCCGGTATCGGACTTGATCGATAACATCAAACGTCATCGTCAAGCAAAATGTATTTCCGAATTCTGTTGAAAATATGAAAAATTAATTTTCAATTTCCCATTTCGGCTGTCGGCATTTTCGTATAAACTCAAATTAAAGCTCAATTTTGTATTAACTTGATTTTTTTTTAAACTTCTTCAAATTCTTTATGCACTTTGGCATGGGCGAGGCGAGATGTACGTTTTTATTTGGAGTGCTAACTAATTTTGTTCTTTTTACGCTTTTTACGCTTAGTTAATAAAACGTTTCATCCTTGGTGGATTAAGCAAAGAATATTATTCATAGTTCGTTAAAATAATTTATTTATTTCCTATCAATTTCCTTAATTGATAGGAAAATTATTCTTACAACGATTAATTCAAACACAGATGCTTTTGATTTTATATTCTTAATGAAGAATTTAATTTATTTTATCAATACTCGTCTGTTTGTATTTAAACTCAAAGCACCAGGGAAGCAAATTTTATACTATATATACGTTACGTATAAACTGATTTTCTAGTTTGATACCATCGAAAATATTGGAATTTCTTGCCCCTAATGGATATTCAAGTTCAAACTGATAGTGAATGCCTGACCAACCGTATCATAATATTAAATTCGATAAATAAAACCCGTTTTAGGCTCATCCGGTTCACCATAAAGTACGGTCCTAAAATCTTGGTCACTACACTCTATCTTTACCATATATTGTAGGATCTTACGAGATGCTACATCCCTCTCATTAATATATTTCTCCCAGTCTCGTGCCGCCTTCGCACACGTATACGTAAGCTCTTACACGTGCGCAAGCTCGCCCACGTCGTCAAGGAAAGCACAGCTCGGCTTTATCCTAATTACGATCTCTCAGAGTCAAGGGTCTCGGCGCTTCCATACCCTCGGTGCGACAAACGACAAAAGTCGAAGCTTCAGTCCCCCACAAAAAAAAAAAAAAAGGCAGGGCGAGGCATTTTGCCATGAGTTTTCTTGCAAAACGAAAGTAGAGAGGATGAAGGAGATGTAAGGACACTACTGTCATGACGACGACGACGACCACGACGATGATGGCTACGACGATTCATGACGACAACGACGACGACAACGACGACGACAACGATGACGGCCAAGACGACGACGACGACGACGACAACGATGGCGACGAGTAGGAGGAAGAGTAAAAAAGAAAAATAAAACAAGGAGGAAAAAGAAGCGGACGCGCAAAGGGCGCATAAGAGAATGGAAATCAATACGTGAAGTGAGCAGCGACAGCAGCTAGTTTCACGCGGGGGTGGCGATGGCTTTAGAAAGCCTCGAGACGATGTCGCCTACGAGACCTCGCCCCGCTCAGTGGAAAACGCACCGGGGAGCTGAGGCTAAGTGCCGGCCCAATGATGAGGAGCGACAAAGACGGGGATAGATCCATTCAAGACTAATGGGGTTAAACGTCTTAGCCGCGCGTATTCGACACACGGAAATCTACTCTCCAGTCGATTCTCCGGGCACCCGACGCCATCAGTGCCGACCCCCGGACACTCCGAGTTCTTGCTCCTTCGCGCTTCCAGTATACGACTTTACGCCTCTATTCTCTATTGACCCTCCGATTATTGGAGTACTTTCTTCTTCTTTTTCTTTTCTTTTCTTTTTTTTTTTTTTTTTATGATTGCCGAGGGTATTTTGACTGCGTCGCGATTAGTTTTTCATTCTTCTTTCCCCATCCGTTAGTTTAATGGCCTTCGTCCGATATCAAGTGCAACAACTTTTCAACTGCAAAATTAATCCTGAGTTATGAGTAATTAATACGTGAAATTTTGGTCCGTCGGTACTCCATAGTCATGACAATGTCATTTCTAAACAATAGTTTGAGAACGATAGGATGGAGAAGCGAGAGGGAAGCGACGAGCTACGATGAATATTGCGTTGAAAAAACACTCGCGACAAAATACTAGACAATCCTCTTGAAATATACGTACTCGCGTCAATTTAATTTTCCTACGTTGTGGGTAATGATTTAAAAATTGTTTTCCCCTCACACTCAACTTGCTCTGATCGCCACCAAGTATTTTCCCATCTCCAGCAAGTCGAGGAGCTTAGACTCTAATAACGCTCGAGTCCGTATGAGAAAATTCATTTTGCCGCGAGTATCAACTCGACGAATTGTTTCTAAAATTCAGTGAGAAAAAAAAATAACGAGAGAGCAAAAGCAATTACGCCAGGTAAAAAAGGAAAAAAGAGTGATAGCGAGATGAATTGCCGTTCGCGAGGGCGACACGCGCGCGAAGCTCCAGATAACGAAGAAAGAGTTTCAGTTTCGCTCTGCTATATACGAGCGGGTCGTGACGGATGAGAGAGAGAGAGAGAGAGAGAGAGAGAGAGAGAGAGAGGCGGGGGTGTAATAGAGGTTGGCGTAGAGGGTGGAATGCGTCGTATTCGGCCATGACGAAAAGTTTTACGTCCAGGAGGCATTCGGCACTTCTACACTCGAGTAAACGACAACGGCGAGCGGAATCAGGGAACGCATGTCGAGTCGTGCGCCCTTAACTTTTACGCTTCTCCAGAGAATAATCGAGAAATAACAAGGACGTATGGATCGATTGTCGTACGATTGGCTAACGCGCTCTCTCACTTTCTTTTTTCCGAAATTAAAAGCTGCCTCTCGTTCTGGTTTGGATGCGGATTTCGTTCGCCGCTGTTAGTTCGTTTATCACGTTAAAACGACAATTCTACGCGTATAAGTACATCGTGCAGCTTTACTCTATATATGATGTAAAATTGTTTTATCGTTGTGCTGAGCGGCGAGTATCCAAAGGTTAGGAAGTACCGGCGTTTATGAAATAATGTCATGGGAGTGTTTGGAGACTTTTGTTAAACGACGTTAAATGACTCCCGCGACGGGTGTTTATTATGCCCGACACGAACTTTCATTTAGCGCTATGTGGAAAATGAGCCGTCACCTCGCGAGATCCAAGATCCCGATCTTTGCCAAATGGCAGAATTGCCCATCAGCCAATGGATAATAAAGGTGAGGATCAAGGCTCTTCCACCACTTCTATTCCATATCGCGAGCGCTAAAAACCAAAAAGAATGGGGAAGCCGATGCGCGCGGAAGTTTCAAGTATTCCGAGCCTCGAAGTACTCGAAGCTAACGTGTATCGATAAATAAATAAGAGCGGAGCGACCGCGGTAAAGTACAAAGGGCCTCTAAGGGAAGGGGCATGTGACTCACCCTTGTGTGCCATGTCATCAGCGGTGACGGAGGCCAGGAGGCCGGTGGCGCCCGGCCATGGAGCGACCGCAGCGCCGAGTTGCTGCGACGGCAGAATCTTCGGGCCTTTCAACACTTCCGGTCACTGCAAAAACAAAACAGACACCGCCATTAGTCGTGCTAATAATCATTTGAGAAAGCCAGAAGTTTATAAGGGATATCGAGCCGCTATTAGTCGACGCGCTCATCGAGGCTGACTTAACGCTACAAAAGGACTCAGCGAATTGAAATCCTAATGAGGCGAAAAGTCTGTGCTGTTTTGTGATACCAAGCTGCATTATATTTCTTGGAAATGCATTAATATACCAAACGGCAGAACTTTCGAGAGATTTTCCTCCGAGCGAATAGCCATTTTATCGGAGTCTGAATCGCCTCGTTTTCTTTTTAGCAAATGTCGCGAGAGATTCGTTGTTGTTGACGTTTCGAAAATGGCGTTTGCCTCGTAGCTTTTCGAAAATTAACAGAAAAAACGCCCGATCGCACATCCTTTCAAAGTGTGTAGCGCATTATTGAAAAGTCCGCGTCGACCAAGTTATTAAATAAAAAAAAAACTTGTCTAGCAAAATCGAGATAAGACAAACAACAGAATTATCTCGACGAAGATAGTGTCGAGAAGTGAAATGCTCTTCGGAAACTAAAAAAGGTCGGACAATTTAAAAATAAATAATTCGACTTTATTAAAGTGGAAGCTGAATAAATAAATAAATAAATAAATAAATAAATAAATAAATAAATAAATAAGGTATGTGCAACGACGGCTTAAGCAGCCGTATTAGTGATCAATTGAATAGAATTTTTCTTAAACATTTTAAAAGAAATGTTTTTAAAAGAGCTTGTAATATAATATTTGGATTCCCAATGGTAATTTTGTGCGCCCTGTATCTTTAAAAAATGGCCGTGTTTATTCAGATTTTTATCAAAAATATATATATGTTTTTAAGCCACTATATTTAAAAAGCATTTGAATAAAATAATATTAATAATAATAATTAAATAAATAAAAAAAAAAATAAAATAATAATAAGGTAAAGAGTGAAAAAGAGAAGAGAAAAGTACGCTTTGTCATTTATAAATAGATTAGATATTCATTTGAAATATTTATGTATCTATCTATGTACATATCGTAGTTATTGCTAATAAATATTATAACTCTATTTATTAAAGATTACATTCTAGATGGCCGACTTTGTAGTGACTTTAGCTATTATAAATTATTCATTGAGCGACACACATTATTAGCACGCAAATACAGCCTCTTGTTATTCTCTATTTAATCACTAATTTTTAAAAGAAAAAGCTTCATCGCGTTTGGCTAGTTAAACTGTATCCTCATTTCCTTTTCTTCTCCTTCCTTCTTATCTTTTTTCTTCCTTTTTCTTGTTCTCTTGTTTCTTTCTACTTTAATAACACGAGATTAGCAGGCAACTTTATTGTTCAATGTGCTTGAAGCGCGAAAATGTTGAATGGTAAGATAAAATTTCAATAATTCATTTAAAAATTAACGATTCGCATACGTAGCGGCGACAATGATACTCGAACTTTTCGGAAAATCGCGGCAAAAATGTTATCATTAGTCGACGCTCGTACACCTGTTTCAATGATGATAATATCACAAGCAGATGCTGGCCTTTTCTTCCTCTAAGGACAGACGCAATGTGTTTCATGTTAATTTAATTTCGTACAGCAGGCTTGTATTATTTATTATATGTCCCTCCTCGTATCGGCCATGCATGCACCACGACCACGCGAATCCCCATTTAACGATCGTATTAATTGCTCTTTACCTGTTATATAATTCTTAATTTCGTTAAAATAGTCTTAAAGTTACTAGTACATATTGCCGTATAATGTTTATTTATTTATTTTGTATATTTCAATAATAATGGAAAATGTAGTTAAATTTACGGAGTACGATGGCTTTAGAAATTTGACAAACAGTTTTATCACTTATACAAATTTATTGACAGATGATGACATGCATGATGAATTAGTTCTCGAGTACGGAAAAATTTCAAACAATATTTACTGCGATATTTAGTTTCTGCAAATACAGAATACTTTTATGAAATTTATTGACTCGAATGTTCCATTTACATTCATTGGAAATTCAGTAAATATCGTAATTATTCCATCGTTGGAATAATTCTATTTTTTTCTTCTTCTTCAGCATTTCGGAATTACATATCTTGACATTTATATTATTATCAATTGTAGAAAAGTTTAGTTTTTTTAATAGACGACATATACGAATAAAGTTAATATGAGTTTTTAGAATTTAAACAAACGAAGGTTTTGTTAGACTTGTATTTAACGTTAAATTTTCCTTTTCATTACTTAACTCGGTTCGTTGAATTTTTTCTTCATTCTAATAATACAATGGTCGTACGTATAAATAAATGTTATTGAATTATAATGGAGACTTTAATATAAGAAATCCTTTTTTTCACGTAATCGTTATATGATTTGAAATGACGGTAATATTATGAATAATTTATTTCAATAATACATACGACATCCACAATACAATGGTATTTTTTCATTTTCCCCCTTTTTTTTTTTGGAATTTTTGTATTTTTGTGTGTGTCTTTTTTTCTTTTTTAATCGTATTTTCAGTTAATTAAGCAGTGAAAGTTACATTAGTTTTAAATAGGACAAAAAAAAAAAAGCGCAGGAGGCAGACTCGACTCAATCACAGCACAACGCGCGCACTACGAATACCGTCATTGAGCGTCGTAATTACCTGCGAGCGTTCGCACACACGAAAAACAAACGTATCCGAGCCACTTGCAGCACGTAACGCCCTCGACCGGGAGAAAGAGAGAGAGAGAGAGAGAGAGAGACCGAACCGCATACGACCCCGAGGCAATCACAGTCAATAAAGAAACTGTGGGACGGAGTGTAGAAACAATTAAGAGAGCAAAGATTTAGAGAACGACACACGACAGACGAAGAAAGAAAGGGCAAATTCTACGCCAGACGGGGGTGGAAGCGTATTAAGTGCGATATAATTAGTGCCTACGAGGGAACAGAGGAACAATGTGCCTTGGTTAGCTTTGCTTTGAACCAAAGAGATACTCGCATATAAAGTTATCCCATGCATCGTCTCATCTCTCATCTGCCGCTTATCCCATACAGCATCCCAGCATCTCGCCTGTGTCTTTTTGCTTATGTCGCTTGTTTATTTTAAGTGCTATTTGTGTGTATGAGCTTTCGCTATTGAGGCGACTCTTGTAATATTCGATATTGAATGCAATTTGCCGAGTATTTGAGTATTCTTGGTGGAAGATGTTAAGTGAAAAGCGACGTCAAGATTTTTGCTCGTTTATGTGTTGTTTACTTTTTCGTAAGCAACGGATGATTCGTAAGTCGTTTACATTATTATTCTCTCGATACATTTTTTGATGTATGGAGGATGTCTAATATTACTTTATTTACGGCTGGGCCAGCAATTTATTAAGTCAAGGAATTTCAGTCTTCAATGAATACTTGCATGGCGACATTAAAAGAAAAAAAAATAGTAAGGTATTGTAAATTATGACACGTTAAAATAAAATTTTCAAAATAACGGATAACGCAAACATTTCTATTAGCTTTAAAAAATATATCCCTCCTTTATATGAAGCGCGAAAGAGATATTTATCGCTGCTACTTACCAGATTGCCTCTCCCATCCTTATATGCTGTATTTTATATATTAATAAAAGGAAAAAAAAAACGGAAAAAATATTTCTGAACGAGATTTTTCTAGAAAAGACGAATTATATAAGAATGAAAAATGCCGCGAGTACATTGTCTCGAGCTCGTTATCAATTATCTCAGACAAGAAATGTCACTAAAATTAGAATTCCCAATCGATCGAATCCAACGAGCTTTGTAGAGATGTTTTGGAAATTTTTGCCGAGTTCTCGCCAACGTCACGTCATTGGCATAATGCAATTTACATGATCCCGAAATAAGTTTGTTACGTCAACGCTTAGAATAAATATCCCTTGGTATAACGCAGGGAAGACCTTTAAGGACTTGACTCGAACGTTAATTTATAGGAAATAAGCATCCATGTAGGCGTCGATAGAGAAAAACGACGAATATTCGCTGAGAGAGGCAAGAAGACAAAGACACAGGACTTGGAGAAGGGCATGGCTGAAGTGAAGTAAGTTCGTCGTCGGCTGGAAGCGAGCCGCGCACACCAACGCATATTGCGCAAGAGGGATTACCTCGGATTATGCCCGACTGAGCGCAAACGGGATCTCGACGACTTGTGTATTTACAAGACGCCAAGCTGTCGATTTAACTCATTCTCTTCATCTCGCTCGCTCTTTGTCACGCCTGCCATCCCACTTTTTTCGCTTTTCTCTAAACTACCTTTTGCCGATCGAGGCGATAAAATTGCACCTCAACTTTTCACTTAAACCATATCTTGGCTTTGCATTATTATCACGAAGAAGCGATAAACGTATTGTCGATCGCCGGCTTTTGGAAATGTAATTTCAATTTAAAACGATAAGTTACTAATTGCTTGCAGTACCACCTGCTTCGCTATAAATAATCGTGAAGATCCGTAGTGGCATAGTGCCACGTTACATTATATAAATATCAAACGATTTATACCTACAATAATGCAAATGCAAATAATGCAAATTATGTGTGTAATTATGATAACGGCTTGATTGATTATGAATAACCGTGTAAGAGATGGCGATAGGTGAGATTTGCGATTAATGTTGTTGTTTTTTTTTTTTTTTTTTTTTTTTTTTTAAGGGATAGAAAGAAGGATAATGGAAGAGACACGAAAGGAAAGGAATAATTGTTCGAATCATTGATATCTCCCACCGATACCTTCCGCGCATCCTCTAAAACCTGAATTTTCAAAATTGCACTAGGCACTGGTAAAGGTAAAGGCTCGTTACTCGATTGCTCAGCCCCTCGTGCCAATTAGTCTGTCCCACCTTATTTATTGCCTCGAAACGTTTAAGGAAGGTGAGACTAATAAAGAGGGTCGGTGATAAGGTCGCAGCGTCGCGTGGAAAAGCCTACACCAGAAGTGGATAGAGGAACCTGGAAACCTGGAAAGACGCAACGCGAGCGGTCATTTAGCCATTGAACAATATTATGATGAATTTTGTGCCCCGTGAAAGTGAAAAGTCAAGCTAATTGTCAGAATTTCGCTGTGAAATATGAGGATGAGGAAAGAGTATTAATTATTTATTAAAAGCGCGTATAATGTAAAATAACGTGTAATGAAAAGACGATAAAAAGCGAGTGCGCGAAAAATGCGTAAACGTCAATCCCATAATAAATTGATGATAAAATTCTCAAAGTTGGCTTCTCCCCCCCACCCCCCCCCCCCCCCCCCACCCCCCGTCCCCCCCCCCCC